CCCCAAAACCCCAAAACCCCAAAACCCCAAAACCCCAAAACCCCTTCTTAACAAATTATAGGTAATCGATTATGATTAAGCAATGAAAATTTAATTTCATTAATAATTTTGAAATACTTTCTGTTTTTGAACCTCATGTGCAAGTCTACTAAACTCAATTTAAGAGGCCCGAGATTATCTAATTTTCTAAACTTTCTCTTCAATCTATAAATATTTCTCAAATATTCTACTCTTAAGTCTTTCCCTTTGAGATTTTTACTTTTCTTATTTTCTCTTATGATCTTTTTCAACCAATGTATATCTTTCATGCTTTAATTGATTATCTCTCTGTCTTTTTTACTTGATTGTTTATATCTTTTATTCAATTTAGTTCTGTTTACTCATAATGCTTTACATTAGCATCTCACTATTGTCTTCATAATTTTCCATCACTGAATGATTCTAACGATTTTTAAAGTTTTTTTGAGCTTTTTGATTTAGCATTTTTTGCTTAGCTTTTTCATGCTTTTCAAGTTTAGCTTTCTTTTTGTCTTATCTTTCCAAAAATTCTCTTAGCCTTTATTCTTCCTCAGCTTCATGCTTTAGTAGTAATTATTCCTTAGCTACAGCAACCCTAGTTAAAGAAGAATGAATCTATTGTCTTACTTGATCCCTAATCATCACAGATCTCTCTCTATGTGAATTCAATCTTGTTTCTAGGGTGTCAAGTTCAACAGTAGTTTTTCTAGCTTACTCTTCAAGTGTCTTCTTAAAAACATGGAAATTGCCTTAAGACTTCATAAAATTTCTCTAATACTATTTATATTCTTATAAGCACATTTCCTTCTATTTAAGCTCCTTCTCTTGCTATCTTTTTCTAAGTTCATCTAAATACTTTTGATACTCTAAATCAGCATTCTCATATTGCATACTAATTCTATCATTCATCCACTACTTCTTTGTCTCTCTCTATATTTCTACTTTCTATATTTTTTAACTTTTGTCCTTCATGTCTTTCTTGAATCGATCTTAGATTTTCTTTAATTTCAATTCTTTTTTGTTCATCATTTCCTGCATCTTTAGACTCAGATCTTCCCTGAGCTTAAAAGAATTCTCTTTTATTTTCAAGAATTTAAACAATTTTTCGCGTTCCCTTTATAAATCAAATGATTGAAATGTTGGATCATGTCTTTGCCTATATTTAGTAATATTGGGAGTTTGATGACCATTATTACCCATTTCTCCAAGAAAAGGTTTGTGGTTAGGGGAAACCATCATTGAATTTTCTTTTCGAGCATGGAGAAAGGTGCTTAAATTATTTCTTTTATTTCCACTTGGATCCTCTCCAATTAATGGATTGAGACTGTTGAACCTCTACTATACTTTTGAAGGTGTTGGAGGAATATCATTATGATTCACTTAAGTCATGAAGAAATTTGAATTGCTGTTTTGGTTTATATTTATTTATGGATTATATGCGTTAATCGCTGAATTCAATTGAAGTGGTTCTAGCTTTATAGTAGCTGGAGCTATCTTATACCTCTTCTTATGTCTGAATTCATCAGCTAAAAGATAATTTGATTAGTAAATGAATTTATTGTGGTGTCAAGCTTACCTGAGGCCTTCCTCTTTTTTAATAATTCATCATGAATTACTTTGAGCTTTACTATTCTTCTATTCATGTGATAATTATATCTAACTAGTGCTATTTCTTCATCAATTCAACCATTTTTTGTGAAATCTTCAAGCTATCTACACTAATCCTTTATTAAAAGCTAGAATTTTACTTCTTAATCAAGTCTTATGGTTCGATGTCTAACTTTTCCAATAGCTGCAAAAACTTATCATTTATCTAACCATTCTTATCTGTGATTTTCATATAGATATTTTCTAGATGAGTGTTATCAAGCATTGTTGAATTAAAATCCTATTATGTAAGTCCAGGTGTCTATGCTTTATTCTTAGGTAGGCTCATTTTAATTTTACAGTTAAAATTATAAGTTTAATTGTCAATATATTTATCCAATTAAGATAATCTAAATCCAAGTTTACAATTTTCAATGCAATCACAACTTCTATGGAATTTGCTCAATACATAACATTTGGAATTACATAAGTCAATCAATGGGGTAAAGAGACAGTGAAAGACACTTTGGCCGAGTGGTTAAGGCGTTGGCCTGCTAAGCCAATGG